AAAAGGAACTCACAATGAAGGCTACGGACACTGTAACTATTAGTTCGACTGCAGGGAGAAATCCTAAAATAACAGTGGCACAGATACAAAGGATCTGTTTTCTCATTAAACTCACCTGGACATAATCTGATTTTACGGCTAAAGAAGCAGCAAGATGATGAATCTCTTGGTCACAACTTCCCGAACCCCAGAGTATGACTTTTAAAGTGAGTAATAGACCTCGCCAGAGTCTGTAAGTTTGCCACAATCTTGGACATTGGACTGAGATCTACAACTCGGGGTTTTTCAGCTCCCTTCACCTCTGAGACTTCTAGACCATTTATTTAAGGTGTTTGTGGTTTAGTTTTGACTTTGTGTCTATGTTGGATGAAAAGAGAGTGTTCATGAAAGAACTTTGAACCCGTAGGCGTGAAGGAGAGGTCATACACTTGATTATCATTAGTTACAAAGGCAGTGTCCCATCAGAGCTTGCGTAAAATCCCCCTGGGCTAGTTTATTTAAGAAATCCTCCTCCTCCTCTCTTATGTTTTGCTACTTTCTACTTAGGGTAAATTCATCTCTTGCCAATGGTTAAATTATAGTTATTAAATCCTAATAATTCTATGTTATTACGTCTCTTTACAGAGAAAGTGGGGGGAGAGACCCAGACAACAGTTGAGAAAGGTAAGCTTATCGGCATATTCCTATGGGAGTTAAGAAAAAATGTCTTTGAACCTAGTCTTTGATATGAACTAATTACATTCTTTCCTGGATTGTAGTCAACAGGAGTAGGTTTCAAACTTTCTCTCCCCCTCCCCTTTACAGAAAGGGGAATTCCTTATATTTGAAAATCAGCAAACCACAAATGAGTCTATTCATTTAATGAATTCAGCTCTGGGGAATGAGATCATATTTTAAGAATGAAAATAAGGGCCTGGTGCAGTGGCTCATGCCTGTAATCCCAGCACTCTGGGAGGCCAAGGCAGGTGGATTGACTGAGCTCACGAGTTCATGACCAACCTGAGTCCAGAGCAAGATCTCATCTCTTAAAAACAAAAAAAAAAACCAACAAAACTGGGCACTGTAGTGGGTGCCTGTTGCCCAGCTACTCAGGAGGCTGAGGCAGGAGAATCAGTTGAGCCCAAGAGTTTGAGGATGCTGTGAGCTACGATGCCATAATACTCTACTGAGGGTGACAGAGTAAAAGTCTATTTTTTTAAAAGAGCGACCAATTTAATAGCTGTACACAAATGCTATTAATTAATTGTGAAAACGGTGTGTGTGTTACACTTGATACATAGTAAATTCTGAGAGCCAGAAACCACACCATTTATAAGATGGGATTAGAATACCCCAGTCTTGGCTTGGTGCCTATAGCTCAACTGGCTAAGGCGCCAGTCAGGTACACCTAAGGTGGCGGGTTCGAATCCCCAGCCCGGACCCGCCAAAACAACAATGACGGCTGCAACCAAAAATAGCCGGGCGTTGTGGCGGGCGCCTGTGGTCCCAGCTACTTGGGAGGCGGAGGCAGGAGACT